TTCATTAATTCTATCAGTAAGAAATTAAATGGGGGATAACCCCCCCCCCCATTGTCATCCTGTATCATTTTTTTAACTTTGGTGCTGATTGTTCAAGAAATGTAGAAACGTATAAGGAACAGATAGATATACGACTGTGTTTTTATATAGTAGATAATAAGCACATTTGGATCACAACGTACCCAAGAGAGTGACTGTGGAAAAAGGGATCGTGGCATATTACAAGTCACTTGAGCCATCAAAGCAGTGCTGTAATGCCAATAGAATTTTAAGGTGTATCTATAGGCATATTGACTACAAGTCAAAAGAGGTAATTTAATTATCTCTATACAAGTTGGTAGTTACTCTTCACTTGGTCCTTATCTTGTTACTTAAGAAAGGATTTGGTGGAGAGCTACCAGGATGATTCTCATGATGACTTATTTTCTCTTGAGAAAAGAAGGGAAAGAGGTGATCTTATTGAACTTTAAAGGATTATTTAACCCAAGGGTTGCTAGCCCAGCTAACAAGAAGAGCCATTGTTTTGAAATTTTGCAAGATACTGAGATGCCACAATGACCTTAGCAACAGGGCTATAAAGATGTGGGTTTGGAGCTGCAGATTGCTGACCCATAATCTAGCCTGTAGGGGATAATAAGATAAAGTCCTCTGATTTCTTTGTACCTTATTTTGAACACAATAGGACCAGAGAACACGAGTTTAAGATTTGGAAAATACAGGTTGTGCTCTATGTAAGACCATTTTATTTTTCTAACAGGGTGATTAGTTTTTTGAATACATTACAATCAATAGCAGTGGAGGTTGGAAGGGGAATTGATGGTTTCCCGAACAAACAAAGGGTGGTTTTAAATACTTAATTTTGTTTCCCTTGTTCAGTATGTTAAATTGAACACCTTTTTAGATATTTACAATGCTTATTATAATTAATTAATAATAATTAAGGACTCAACGCACTGTACAAACATTCTGTAACATTCCTATAACCATGCTTCAAAAGTAGAAGGCAAGAAGCTATGTTTACAAAACCGTGTTTGTTTCTGTAAATAATAAATGTAATGGTGGTCTAAGGCAGTGTTTCTCAAACTGTAGGGCACATCCTCTTAGGGAGGCTTGGCCTTTTGACAGGAGAGCCCAAAAATAACTACGAAAGAAACAAAAGTTGGAGATGACAATAACCTAACAAAACTATCACTTTTCTCTCAAAACTTTTTTTTTTGCTCTCACAATTGAAAACAGGTAAAGAAAATGTTGATTTTGCTGTTCTCTTGGAGAAATTATTTTAATGTATTGGGGGGGGGGGGTAATGGAAACTTTGCTGAGTTAGAAGGGTGCCACTATTTAATATTTGGAAAACACTTCTTATTTATTATAATTCAGGCAAGTCCTAGTGATTTAAAATTTTTAACAGGAGAGGCACTAAAGTATTTTCCTTGCTGCCTATTCAAGTTATCTTCAACTAAGCTTGTAGAACAAAAAATTCTAATTGTAATAAACATTTCATTATTGAAGCTGTTGTATTGAATTATGCAAATTTATTTGTGTGTATTTCTTAGCTAGTGATTCAAGGACTTCACAAGCACCAATAGTTGAAATTAAATAGTTTTATCTTTAATGTTTGGAAATTTTTTGTCATGTTGTAAGAAATCATTTTAACTTTACGTTAGCTTGATGTTTTTGTTAATTGTGAACTGACAAATAGAATTCCTATATACAGTGTCAACAGATTATTTGTATATAATATTTTAATATCCACTACACTTACTGTAGTTAGAGGTTATTCAGATGTTATTTATCATACTTGGCTATCACAGCCGTAAATAATTTCATACATTTCTTTTAACACAAATAGGGGGTTGTAATGAATATTCATTATCTTGCCTATTTGAGCATTTTGCTAAATAAATGTTTTGGCAGGATATTAATAAATAAAAAAACTAGCATGGAAGTTTAATTACTGTTAATGTAGAACAATAAGAACACTAAAAGTTTGGATTTTTTTTTGGTAAAGGCTGCTAAAAGTATTATCTAGATTCAGATATCAGTAGCATAAATGAATCTAATTTTGATATTTTCCAAAGCATATAAACCTTCTTTCTTATATTAATCAAACAAATCTTGTTAAACTAAGTGAATTGAAATCATTTTAGCATAATAAACAGGTGAATATTATGGATATAATACAATCATTATGTCTTGGTGTTATATTTTAAAAGAATTCCGAATGTGAGCGAGGTCACATTCACCTATATTATTATAACCAATAAATTTCAGTTTCAGAAAATTCGTGTAGTTATTAACATGCATATTTCTCAGTTGTTGTAGTAGAAGCTACATCCACTTTATCACTGTGTGAAATTAGCTTGCTATACAGTTACTAACTACTTCCAAGTAATCTGACACGTGACTGTTTTTGCATTTTAAATCACTCATGATAATCAGTGAATACAGAGGTTATCAGTGAATCACTATTTCATGCCACTGGTAGCAACCAACTAGGTCAGAGCATGAGAAATCAATGTGTGCACTGCAGATGACAGTTTATATTTATATATTTATTGCAGGGCATGCTACAATTTAAGATTTAGAGTATTGGACATGTTCAAACGAGAGGAAAATTCTTTGGTTTGTGTAGAAGAATATTACTGGAAGTTTTAGAGAGGCAGCTATAATAAGAGTGTTTACCTGGAATTATTATATGTTGTATTGTTATTCATCCAGGTGTAAACAATTGTAGAAGATTGGATTATTTGTCATAAAGATCATCTTTTTAAACTGTGGAATGTAAAGGATAGAAAAGTATACCTGTATATTATAAGTGATAAAAGGTAAGCTTTGAAAGCCCAGAACAAAAATATTCTTTGTTAAAATTATAAACATTTTTATTTATTTATTGTTTTATGAATGCAAAGGGTTATACTTTGTTTGGTTTGATGCTTTGGTTGTTTGTTTCTTTTGGGTAAAGGTATAATTTTGATGGGCTGATTAGGGAGGTGTTTATTCACCAGGCTCTCAGTTCAAATAAGTCTCTTTTATTACTATTTTTTTTTAAACCAGAAGACATTCTAGATGTTATCTTCCACTCTGGCATTTTTTTTCTCACTTAAACATGCTATTTACCTCTAGTTGAGTAAAGACTTGGTCCTCATCTGCTATTTGTTGAACACATTCTCCTTTGCATCTTCATAAAGGCTGTAAAACTTTATCATAATTACATATAAATTGGTAGTAAAAGATGTTTACTTTTATATATTTTATATTAATCCATGCAGACCATCATAAATACTTTTTTTTCCCCCCTTAGAATATTGAAAGACGGTGATGTGGCTACTGTAAACAGCCATATAATTTTGGTGTATGCATCAGAAAGCATGGCTCAGTCTGAGCAACAACCATATAGTTTTGGACAAGTTAACAATGATCAGTTTCATGTTCAAAGATCTAGAAGAAACATAATCTTCAACCATACAAGACCTACACCTCCTTCTAATGAGGAAATAATAAGAAAAGGTTATTCATTGTTTAGAAATTTTGTTCATGAAGAAGCTATACTTAAACAAGTTAAAACTGTGGTGACTCCACAAAGGTATGATGCCACTTTGCAAGACTTGCCTGTTGTTGATATGGATGAGGCAAATGAACCTCAGCATGCTACGAGTCAGGACACTTCATTTGAGTGTGCATCTTTGAACCAAGATATTAGGTAAGCTTGTTTTAATACTGTTGTTGTGTAATAATGTTAAGTACAGGTACATGGTCATGTACCTGTACTTAACATTACTCTCATGATCTAATTTTAGTTAACAATTAGATCATAAGCCACTTCCCTCATTCACTCACAAGATGCTTGAACTGACTGTCTGAGAATGTGCGTCATGCTTTCGCATCATATTGACAGATTGTATATAATAATGATGATGATATCAAATGCATTGATATTTAACTCATTCTTTAATATTGTTTACTTTTTAATCCCCTTAAAATGCTGTAATATTACACTTAGTTATAAATTACTTAGTTACTCTTCAACAATTAATACAAGTTTCAGCAGTATTCTATGTAAAAATCTTGTGGAATTAATTTGACTGCACCATGAAAGGTTGTGCCATGTATTTAGGTAGGCTTTACTTGATTACTGTTTACAGTTTCAGTCTCGTTATGTAAGAAAGGATATTGACTTATTCAAAAGGGTTCAGAGGAGGGCAACTGGTGTGGTACGTAGACATACCGTGCATTTTCTACTTTCTTGTTTTAATGTAGAACTTTTCAAAAGTTTTTGTTTGTTTCAAGGTCTCTTGTTGTTTTGCATAACATGGTCAACAAAGATGTAAAGCCATCCCTTGATATGCTCACAAGAATATGGTTATATATATATATATTTAAGTTTTTCTTCATTACCCATTCAAGCCGTCTCCAAGCATTATCATGTGAACTTCATCTTCTGGATGATGGACAGTCACCTTTACTGGAGCTGTGGTTTATTTCCAAACTGACCAACTCACTCAAGATCATGTGACTAAATCTCACATTGTTTGGATGAAACAGTAACATCAAACTAATCCAGAATGATTAGTGCTAACTATGTGACTTGTCATTTCTTTTTAAGCATAAGGAAGGTTGTAACCTTGAGATATTATCTGATCTACCATTGGAGGATATTGCTGTTGACCTTCATGTTCAAGGTGAAATTTTACAAGTTTAACATAACAGCAAATGTACATTTCAACAAGGTTTTGTCATCATCGGGTACCTAATGATGACAAAATCTTGTCGAAACGTTGTACGTTTGCAATTATGTTAAACTTGTATAAAAGTTTTTCTTTACTCCAAGCATTATTAGTCTCAAAGTGGGTTCCTTGTCATCGAATGTGAAGTTCACATGATGTTGATTTGTGTTGTGTTAAATAAATACTGTAGGGGTTGGGGAAAGACTAGTTTATTGGATATAGGGTAGTTTGATAAGAGAAAACAAAAGGTTTTTATTAATTAAGTCTAGTTAAGGGTCAGTGCTTTGACATTTTCTTATTAACATTAATGATATTCATACCAATGAAAATGATTTGGACTTATTAGTGGATAAGTCACTCAAACGGTAGAAGCAGTTCTCTGTTATTAGTAGTATTTCCAATGGAATTTTAGTGTGTAATTATAGACATTGATTACAAGTCAAAAGAGATAACTGCCCCTATACAAATCACTAGTTAGGCCTCACTTGAAATACTGTGTTACGGGTTTGGGTGTCTTTATCTAAGAAAGAATATTATCTTGGAAAAGGTTCAAAAGAGGAAACTAGGATGATTCCAGGCATGTAAAGGTATTATTATTGTACCCCACAATCTTTAATTGCCTATGTCAACAATAGTTTCAAATAAATGCAGTATGACAGAAGTTTTTATGGAATAACCATTATATTATATAATGTTTATATAGTTTACTTATAACAGATAATAATAACCCTATGAGGTTTCTTGTTGTAGGTTTTAAAGGGAATTTATAGCATCATCTTTTTTCATATTTAATGGTGATAATAGTAAGACTAGGGAACACAAATATGAGTTTTGGCAGGGTAGGAGTCATCTTCAGCTAAGAAATCTTTATTTTCGTAACAGGGTAATTTGCTTTTGGAATGGGTTGCCTTCAAATGGGATACAGTTAATTTAAGGGAGTTTAAGAGAAAGCTTGATAAATATTTGGATGATAAGGGCTGGCTTTGAGTGTTTTACTTTTATTTTAGAGTTTAGTTTAATTTAGTGGATGGGCTAGCCTAAGTGGACCAATAGGTCCTTTATTGTCCTTAAATTATATATATGTGTATATAAAACAGAGGAGTAGGGATTAGGGAGCATGAAATACACTGTACTGTATGTTATGAATATAGGTTAAATAGATATTGCTTTCACTAATACTAGGTATTATATAAACACTGTTGTAATTAAATGCCTAACTGGTTTTTCCTGTGGATGTAATTAAAATAGTTAACACTTAGATATTAGGGTTGTATCAGATACTTGTTTAGTATTTAGTATTCATCCATTTGACGAATTTTGTAGTGTCTATTTGATAGCTAAATAGTTTAAATATTCACATTATGTACCATAATGACTGATATAAAACCTACTGTTGCTTCTAGGAAGTTATGGATAAAAAACTAACACACAGAAGTTCAAGTAATTAATAACTATTAATGTATAATAACAGTAATAATCTGTTTTTTAGTAAAGGTTGTTAAAATTACTGAGTTATTGAGCAAACTTGTTTGTCAGTGACATATTCTTGCGTGCATACATCAATTCAATTATGATATTTTACATTGTGTATTATTCTGTTTTTTTTATGTCAATAAAACAAATCTTATTACACTAAAAGCAAATTAAAATAACTTTAGTATGGTAATTGAATATTACAGTTTTATAAGTAATCAAATTAATCTTTAACTAGTTGACTGTTTCAGTAATTATATTACTAAATAACCAGTCATAAGCAACCCTAGTTCTTTGAAGAGGTGTAATGTCCATTTAAAATTTTTAACACCAAGTACTGTTTACTTATTAATATGTATTTAACAATCAGTTAAGGGAAAAACTATACTGCAGGCTTAGATATGTTTTATTGCTCCGTTGTAAAACTACATTCACATCAGTGTACCAAATTAAGCTTATCACTTATCATTTGTAGAAAGCACATAGTAATATTCACTTTTTCATTAGGATTTCTCTGTTAGATATCATTGTTCAGTGCTTAAATATAGGAAGTTTGAGGTTGTGATATAAGAATAGTAGCCACTTTGAACTTAATGAAAATAACCAGTTTCCATTTACCACATTAATGTTGCTGGTTTCAATGATCACTCTATAAACTGCTGGGCAAAGGTGGTAGGGATCTTTATAAAATTGAAAATGGGTTTTTTTAATTTTCAGAAAAATATATATAATGTAGCAGAGATAAGTAGAAACTTATTTCTCGGCTGATACCAACCTGTTTGTCATGGCCTGTTTGACCAATATCGTTAATGTCCAAGATGTTTTTTGTTATCCTTTGACAGATAGCAATGAAAAATAGTCACAGGTGACTGAAATTATTTAGGTATGGATCTAATAATTTTTGTAATTTTTTTTCAAGTGATCGTAGCAGTTTTAAACATACCTCCAGTAGGGACTGTTGATTTTGGTTGAGGTTTATTGTGATAATGTCTGCAGCACAGAGTTATATTGCTCCAAAAACATTTCAAGGAGATAGTACGTTGAATTCCATCTTGTCTGTACATCATGTACAGTTTTCTTTCGAAGCATATTTAAATATTTTGTACAGTCATTAATTTGTAACATGCTAGAGGTGAATTGTTGAAATGATTAAAATAACACAGGCCAGCGATGGTTTTATTGTCTTGGAATTTTTACTTGTTCTTCAGTAATTCTTGTATGCTGAATATGAAAATTATATCCATTTTTCTCCATCACGTACAGATATTTAACAAAACATCATAACACAATACATAAAAGAAAGACCACAAGCCGTAGTTTTGAGACTAAAAGATGTAGATTTCTCAAAAACAAATCAGGAGGAATGAGGATGCATCAATGTTCTTCCATTTTCTTCAGTTTGTTTGTATTTTTGTTAACAAACATAATAATAAAAAATATTCATTTTGGTA